TAGCTTTGCGCGAAATTCAAAAACCAAACAAACAATTAACTTTAAGTAATCTGTCACAACGCTAAGAAATGTTTTGATTATATTATAGCCTATTTTAAGATTGATAAACCATTGATTTAGATATTTCCAGCGAATGAGACATTTGTTCTTCTAAATTAAATAATAAATATGATAAAGAAAATTTCTATAGCGTCTGGAATCTACAGAGGTATACTAATGGCTTACTGTGGAAGAGGGGGAGAATAGGATATATTTAATATGTATAGTATATTTTATGCGTGTAATTAGAAACGGCGTTTTTCATACGACTTCATCATAGGAGCAAGCGTCTGATTCAATTTATGTATTCAATAGAGAGTGTATGTAGGATTTTTTTTTTAATCCCAAGATAATATAATACTAGTGATATTAAGGCGGGAAAGCAGGAGGTTCTAATATTTTCGCCTTGCAAATAAATAAATAAAATAAACATTCATGTCTTTAAGTGATTTTATATAGCCATCTATAATTAACTTTGTAAATTATATATATACATGTATTTTCTAGAGCGAATGTTTGTTCAACTCTCCGTTTCTCATCTCCGTTGGTGATATCTGTGTTCCAATCTAAAGGAGTGAATATATTATGATTTCAAATTTGCTTAAAGTTTGCTTCTGATCGTCCCATGACAATAGACCTTGCTAATAATTGTCTCGAACGAAGAGGCGCTCTTTAATGTTTGAAATCAGGTTAAAGGTCTTCCTCTAGCGGACTCGTCTATGAATGTCCATAATGTAATAACCGTAGATGAGAAGCCAATCTTCTTACTTAGTTCTATACAAAATATTGTTACCCTCCATATGTGCATTGTTAAGAAAATGTTTCATGACTTTGTCGTTACAATGGAATCAAATGTATTAATAAGCTATAAATACTAAAAAAAAAACTGAATTCAGTGACGTTTTCGAGTTATTCTCCAGGTCAGTAAAAATACTGAACGTGTTAACCAAAACATTGCTTTCATCAACATTTTGGTGATTTCGTAATGCAACGTATTTCTTTTTACTTCTGCCATGAAAATAAATGTTCACAGTTTATATTTTATTGTTTCATATATCTTTGGCATTACATCTGTCTGGAAGTAGGAAAATATCAATAAACACGAAGTCTGATTTGAGTTTTCCAGCTGGTCTGTGTAAGTTATTACCTCAGAATTACGCCTTCAGCTAGATCTCTGCAAGGGTATTGCCCTACGAGTTCAGTTTTGAGCAGAAGATATCAGCAGAAACAGTCCTAACAAGTAAAACATGTAATATGCCGTTCTCCCATATACTCGCGTTGAGCCAATTAAGAGAACTTCTAAAATATTTACGGCTTAATAATTGAAATATCTTATCTCTGCTCTGTAAAGAGCTAGTACTTTGCATATCTGGCGTTTTACGTACTGTAATTAATTTATCGTGTAATTATTATTGTTTGAAAGGTGTTGATTACCATAATTATGATAACACGGTGCAATTCACACTACATGCATTTATTAAGAAATTAACGTAGGCAACCATTTACTTCTATGTCTGTATTTTTGATGACGTATAACATAGGCTTTATTATATGGTTCATTGTCTATAGTTTATTCGGCTGTATTTAAGACTTGATTATGACCATACAATTGGGTTAGAATCAATCTGCTAGTTGAGAAAGACTCGTGATTTTGTAGATGTTAAAGCTATTCTAAATTGGAGAACCCGAGTCCAGTCCACAGTCCCCACCCCCACATACCCAAGAGAAGTCGGAAATAATTGCTGTCACTTGTCAGGTAGTCCTGGTTATAGTTTTAACTCACTCTGTTGCTATGTCACGTGCCCCATGTGTGCCTCAGCTGACGAAAACTCGGAGATTTTAGCATGTCGACATCGTACCCTGCTGAACAGGCAGGATAGAATGCTAGCAGTAACAGCTGTACAATGAATTTCATGGAATAACTTTCCTCAATTGCTGCTAAACAATAACGCATGTCGTTTCAGGGTTTTGGTTTACACGATCCGTGAATGTAAAAGTATATTTTCGTTTGTAACACGATTCTTCTGGAATCTTTCCTAGGACGTTGACATACTGCAAGCCTGGCTCACCAGCCTTCACTTCGAAGACTACATTCAGCTCTTTCTGCAAGCAGGCTATGATATGCCTACGATTTCCCGCATGACCCCAGAGGTAAGTTAGCGACATCTGTACGTGTTAAAATATGTGTATGTATTGTATGAGAAACGAAATTTATTTTATGTCAATAAAAACTTAAATATAGTCATGCATTCTTCCTCTATTGTTTTCTGACATCACATTTAACGTTTTATAAGATGTGAAGTAACTTTTCTATACTTTTTTTTTAGTTGTTGAGAGTTCTTTTTAATATTGTTTTATAAAATCATTGCTAATTATATTTTAATCGTATTGTGTTTTATATCTTTAAATAACTTTGGTAACGTAATTTTGCGTTAGAAACCGTCATGGCATGGAGATATACGGGATATACAGAATAGTTATTGTTATTAAGCACTTTAGACATTGTTAAATAGTAGCAGATCATAATTTATGAACGTTAAATATTAAAATATACTACACATTAATGGCGAGGATAGCTCGTCACACATATCAGAGGATGATGGGTAATTTTTTCAAGGACAGTGCCCTACCTCCCTATCTTATTACCTCTGAACACCTTTATGGTTTCTGTTGTATGTTGTAGGCTACAGATAAGCTAGCTGTTGGTTACCAACTAAAATTGTTTAATGTTTGTTTCTTTAATATTTCTTTTAATAATATATATATTCTCCTAATCTAAAAATAGCATTCTATAATTATAACAATAAAATTTAAAAAAAGATAAATTTGTTTTTAGTAATTAAATTTACAATAAGTTCTATATAAATATATTTTTCTGACTTACGTGGTATTTTAATGTCATCTATATTATAATACGCTTGTTCGTGTGTCTGTTACGGAGATGACGTGAGCGCATGTGTATATAGATAGTAAGGTGGGCGCGCATTATCATTACAGACAAAAACTGAGTGTTATTGTAATAGACTAGTAGAGACCAGCAATACACTTGCGTTCAGATTAGTGTTTTTATTGCAACAGTGCTTCTTTAAATACAGGATTACTAGAATATTACAAAAGAATTCTAATCGCAGACAGCGAAATCTTGTCATACTATAATTCCCCTGCCGGTACGCCTTATAAGCATGCGCAGTAAGAATTTTACCCAGAAAAAAAGTGCAAGCGCCTGCCTGCGCCAGAAGGCTGGAAAGCTCAACGAACAAGTCACTGCAACTGCTCCGTGATTGTAGGAACAACAACACAAAAAGGTGGATGTAAATATTCTTTATTAACCAATTAGTACAATAACATTAAAAGCGTAAAGTTTTCAAAAAGGTCTGATCTTAAGTTCTAGAATAACATTATAAGTATATTTATAGATAGTATTAAGTACAATATAGTTTAGTCCTAACTAAGTTAATGTAAAAAACGTACACGGAACATTGTTAATTTATTTCTTTATCGAACTTAAGCCTACCATTAGTTAAGGTTTTATAAAATAGGACCTAAATACAAGTGGACTTACGATTACACTTCGTTTGTATTATTCTACAAATCTTGTATTTAAAGAAATACTGTTACAATAAAGGTACTACTTTGAAAGCAAATGTTTTGAGGATCTTTGCTAATTATACTGTTATTCCATTACAATTCGACTGGATTTCGTAGTTTACTTTAGTTTTCTTCCCATTATTTTGATTACTTATAATTTACCTTTCTAACTATTTTTATGGATATGGAGATAAAATATAGAATTTTTTTTGTATTAGCATTAAAACTCGGCCATTTTTACTTTAACCATACAATGTGTTGGTATAAGAATAAAACAACAATCGATCATTAAACTAAACCACGCCCAATTCTATTAATTGAACATTTCTGTGTAGATGTCGAAAACAAAAGTAAACAAAAACACATTTGCTAAAACGCGTATTTTAGTTTTTGAGCCATAGATAGAGTTTTCTAATGATCACTAGTTTCCTGTATATGTATTCCATGTAGCTTTAAGTCGGAAAATGAATTTGTTTTTATTGTTTGTGAATAATAACATGCCGTATAAAGCAGGCGGAGGAAATGTGTTGATTGGAATAACGTCCGGCGCCTTAGTTGATGATTTCTTAGAATCAGGTGACGTTTTCTTTACTTGCCAGTTGTGTTTAATATTGTGTTTAATGTTGATTGGAATAACGTCCGGCGCCTTAGTTGATGATTTCTTAGAATCAGGTGACGTTTTCTTTACTTGTCAGTTGTGTTTAATATAGCGAAATAAAACTAAGGAAATATGTTCTCCTGTTTTAACGGTTTTGTAACTATTCTCAAATCCATTCGTCGAAGACACGTGCCCAGACTTGTCTCTTTCGCTGCCAAACTGACCTGCAAATGACATGATTGATTATGTGGCACAAGTTGACAAAATAAGTGTGTTTTCATCAGTCACGTTGAGAAAAAATAAAGTTAGAAACAGCATATTACTTATTGAGGTATTGTTGATAGAAAAATCTTTAATGTCTGGATAGAATAACCCGAAACAAACTGTCATGATTCTAACAAGTGTGTTTAAATTACAAAAAATATACTTGTGATAGAATTGGAGCAAATAGATAGAGCTGTTGTTTAAGCAAAGTCACATTAGGCTATCTGTTGTGTCCACCGCGGGTCATCGAACCCCGGATTTTAACGTTGTAAGTCCCTAAACTTACCGCTGTCCCACTAGAGGACAACAGATAGAGAAATGCTATCAGATAAATATACTAGATAGATAAAGGATAGGGTAGTATTAAAATCTAGATCCTTTGAAAGTAATATACAGATTTTTGTTGTTTTTTCAAAAACTGTAATACAGTTTTTCATGCTTTCAAGTGCTTTATCTAAGCATTTTTTTAAGGAAACGGATACTACTTTAAGTTCGTCATGGAGGACTCGTCATTGGCCAAGTGTTTTAACATTCTTAAGTTGGTGTTAATAAAAAGACATGAAGTATCGGGAATATTGAAACTTGTTTCTCAACTCCTAGTGTCTAAAGTTTCAGTTTTATATTAGTTAGTAAAGCTCGTATCACCTTACAGACCGGTAGTTCATATATGCTTTAATGCTTTCACGGTAATGCCTCAAGGTAAAGCAAACAAATCTGACGTTGTCTGTTACTTTTAACCCTAACATGTAAAGCAATATATCATCTTTAGAGATACTTGAAATCTATTGATTGTGTGGAGCGCCTAATCCGAAGAAAACGAGAGTTTCTGCCCCGTCGACCACACTTTCCCTTCATTGCAGCACACATTTCGCGTCTAGATGGTATTGTTTTGTTTCCGCCGCTGAATAAACGTTAGCTCATTGCGTGTCAAACCCCGGCAGTGTGGGGAGCAAACCAAAGCTTTCCAATACGTTGAGTCGGAGATGATAACGATTCCCTTGTCGTGGTTGCTTTATCAGGTCGATATTGGTTTTGCTTCGGGTTTTCGTGAACGTTTACTCGATGATAAATCGTTATTTACATAAACATAAAGTATAAATGCTTTTATTTAACTTGTTGAATTTTTTGCTCTTTACCTTACGTGGTGGTGGTGGTGGTGGTGGTGACAAGGAAATTATGGCGATAATGAGCAGATATTTATGTATGCTGTATTAAACATAAAAGTGATATTTATGTATGCTGTATTAAACATAAAAGTGATACTTATGTATGCTGTATTGACCTTAAAACATAAAAGTAATACTTATGTATGCTGTATTGACCTTAAAACACAAAAGTGATACTTATGTATGCTGTATTGACCTTAAAACACAAAAGTGATACTTATGTATGCTGTATTGACCTTAAAACACAAAAGTGATACTTATGTATGCTGTATTGACCTGAAAACACAAAAGTGATTCTTATGTACGCTGTATTAACCATAAAACCTAAAAAGTGATATTTATGTTTTTGTATTAACTTTAAAACATAAATAATATTTGTTTTTTTGTATTAACCTTAAAACATAAGAGTGATATTTGTGTATGCTGTATTAACCTTAAAATATAAAATTGATATTTATGTATGCTGTATTAACCTTATAACGTAAAAGTGATATTTATGTATGGTGTATTAACCTTAAAATATAAAAATATTTATGTATGCTGTATTAACCTTAAAACATAAAAGTGATATTTATGTATGCTCCATTAACATTATAACAAATAAGCATCACTTGTTTTTTAAACCTTTTACACTGTCATGTTGATTTAATGAAAATATTCATAAAGGTCACATGCATGAACATGGCTGGTATCTCGTATAATATTGTATAGTATGTTTGGATGGATAGGCAAGTATTCACGTGGGGTTTAATGTTAACTTTATTTATAAGATATGTAACCAAGTATATATGACTATGATAAATATGTAAGATACTTTTACTCAAACAAAACTACTTTAAAAAACCTTGGACAGATGCTTCTGTTACGTCTCTGTATGTTTGTTTGTTAATTCTTCTAAGATACAAGTCCTTTCTTTATAAAACTTGTTTATTCTTCCTCAATACAACTTTGTAATGTACTTGATTTTCAGTTACACACACTATAGTTCACAACAATTCACGCACTTTCTATCACGCTTAGACTTAATTGTCCGTCCCCGCAAACTATAGTTCCGATCTCTGTGTCTGCTATCCTCAGTTCCTGCCGACCGTAATCGCTGTCTTTCTTTCTCTCTGCCTGCTTCGTCTCCGCTACGTCTCTGCCTTCACTACTGCTTCGACTCCGTCTGTCTCTCTCACTGTCTAGCGCACTTATATACGATAATACTGCCTGTTCTAGAAACTTCTAAGACTCTCAACACGTGCTACCAGCGTCAGTTGACGCAACGCTGTCGCAACACACTAGCGAATCTTCTAGAATATTCGTCACGTGACCCCGCTGTCGTAACACACTAGCGAATCTTCTAGAATACTCGTCACGTGACCCCCACTGTCGTAACAATATAAACCAAAATGATTTTTTCATGCCACCCCTGACAACAAGCTGTAGCGTGTGGGAAAATCAGGGGTCATGTTCAGGGAACAATTGGGATAAATTTTCTGCTGATTTAGATTAATCCGAACGTTTATCTTCTGAGTCACTATCTGTAGATGAGCTATCACTATCTCTCACAATAAGTAGTGTTTGCGTTTCAAATCCACGCAAGCAGAAAACCTTGATCATTTTGGATGCGTTATTAGATGTCACATATGACACCTTGCTGTTGATGTTAAAGAGATTTATTATTTCATCATATTCACCTGCAATGTTATCAGATATGTGACGCCCCTTGAAACGTCGACATGCCATCATGACTATTTGCATTTTCCAGTCAAATATAAAATGACCAGTGACTCCAAGAAAGCTGCGCATTTGTCTGCTACTGCAAATATTTACAGTGACATTGATGTTGAGTATAAGTTGCAATAGAGAGATGACTTTTTGTTGGACTTCATCAAACCTGTTCTTGATTAACGCTGTTGACAGATGCTTGCGACTGGGAAGAATATACCGAGAATCCATGGCTGCCATTAGATCTTGAAAATATTTTGACTTTACCACTGAGAAAGGTTGCAGTGCACCGGCAATGAAATTGACGAGGTTGTTAGTAATGTGCTTCTGACGAGGGTGTATAGTCTTATATTTAGA